GTCCCGCTGGGTGCTGAGGCCGGTGCTTTCCCCCAGGTTACAGCATCTTCCTGGTGGCTGCCCATGAGTTCGGGCACTCGCTGGGGCTGGACCACTCCAGTGTGCGCGAGGCGCTGATGTACCCCATGTACAGCTACATCCAGGACTTCCAGCTGGATCCAGATGATGTCCAGGGCATCCAGTACCTCTACGGTGAGCAGCTGTGCCACAGCCGGGTATGCCGGGGGTCCCACGGCACAGGCCCAGTCCCCAGCCTCATGTCCTCCCCTGTATTCGCTCAGGTCGTGGCTCTGGCCCCAAGCCCACCGCCCCTGTGCCCACCGAGGAGCCCCAGCCCATGCCCACAGAGGCTGGTTTTTTGAGGAGACACCAGAGCCCACAGCTGAGCCTGTTCCTGTGGACCCCAGCCGGGACGCCTGCATGGAGAAGAACTTCGATGCCATCACAGAGATCAATGGGGAGCTACATTTCTTCAAGGATGGGTGAGCAGCAGCACCCAGAACCTCCTGCCCTGACGAGGGGATGTGGGGGGGCATGGGGGAACATGGGACAGCCAGGCCAAGGTTACCAGGACAGCTGAGGACAGCTGACCTTCCCCACCAGGAAATACTGGACGCGTTCATCCTTCTGGAAGTCTGGCATCCAGGGTGCCTTCTCCGTCGCAGACACCTGGCCCGGCCTCCCCGCTGTCATCGATGCCGCTTTCCAGGACGTGCTTACCAAGAGGGTCTTCTTCTTCGCTGGTGAGCTCTGCCTCTGCTGTCCTCAGCCTTGGTCCGCTGGCATCACGCAGAGCCCGCTCACTGCCCTGGTGCCCTCAGGGCCAGCTGATGCCCATGCTCTCTCCCGGCTGCAGGTCGGCAGTTCTGGGTGTTTTCTGGCAAAAGCATGCTGGGCCCCCGGGGGATCGAGAAGCTGGGCATTGGGAAGGAAGCTGGTCGCATCTCGGGCGCCCTGCAGCGTGGCCGCGGCAAAGTGCTGCTCTTCAGCGGGGAGAGCTACTGGAGGTGAGCAGGTCTGGATGGCTGCGGCAGCACCTGCCGGCTCCCCCCAACAAGGAGCTGGGACGGACAGCTCTCAGCAGCCCTCAGCATGGTTCTGCTCTCCCCACAGGCTGGACGTGAAGGTCCAGAGGGTGGACAAAGGCTACCCCCGCGCCACTGATGACGTCTTCACTGGCGTCCCCCTCGACGCACGCAATGTCTTCCTCTACCAAGGTGAGTGCGGACCTGGTGGGTGGGGGGCATGCTGTCACCCCCAGGCTGCCTCAAGCCTCCCGTGGGCAGGGGCTGCCCCTCCTCGCCTGGCACAAGGCAGGGGCTGCACCGTGGGGAATGGTCCCGGCACAGGGCATGCCATTGGCGATGGCAGGTCCCTGCGGTGGGGCTGGCCGTGCCCCGGTGAGGGCCGTGTGCTGGGGCCAGTTATCCGCATGCCTGCACTGCTTGGGCGGCCTCCAGGACAGGTCCTTGTCCCTGCTCA